CTTCCTCTGGCATTAACCGCAGCCAAAACTGTGCGCCAGCAGCTTCAACGATTGGGCTTCCGTGGCCAAGCAGCTGCACGCAAGCCTCACATCACCGAGCGCAATGCCAAGCATCGGATGGAGTGGCGTAAAGCACACCGCCACTGGACTCTGGAGCACTGGAAACATGCTCTGTGGAGTGACGAATTACGCTTCTCTGTCTGGCAGTCTGATGGATGAGTCTGGACTTGGTGGATGCCAAGAGAACGTTACCTGCCTGACTGCATTGTGCTGACTATAAAATTGGGTGGAGGAGGGATAATGGTATGGGGTTGTTTTTCAGGGGCTGGGCCAGGCCCCTTATTTCCAGTGAAGGGAACATTTAATACTTCAGCATACCAAGACATTTTGGGCAATTCTATGCTTCTAAATTTTTGGGACCTGTTTGTGGAAGGTCCTTTCCTGTTCCAGCATGACTGTGCCCCAGTGCACAAAGCAAGGTCCCTAAAGACATGGATGGGTGACTTTGGTGTGGAAGAACGTGACTCACACAGAGCCCTGACCTCAACCTTACTGAATTGCGAGCCAAGCCTTTACATCCAACATCAGTATCTGACCTCAGACATACTCTTCTGGATGAATGGGCAAAAATTCCCACAGACACATTCCAAAATCTTGTGGCAAGCCGCCCCAGAAGAGTGGCAGCTGTTATAGCTTAAACGGGGGACAAACTCCACATGATGCCTATGGATTTAGAATGGGATGTCATAGAAGTTCTTGTGGATGTAATTTGCAGGTTTCCCAATACTTTTGTCCATCTAGTGTATATGCAAAATTTCATTAGAGTTTATTGAGTCCTCACACCTGGACAGGTTCAAGTTTAAATATGCTACCCTAATTTTGTTTTAACAATATAAAAGCAAACGCTTAGCAGTTTTTTCAGTGAAGAGACACTCATCCATCTTATTCAAGCATCTTCCAATGGATTTTCTAACTTTGTTCATGAAAGTTCAAAATCTGTCCATGCACATTCTCCAGATATCATTTTAATAATGTGTGTCTGTATGTGTGTGTGTCTGTGTGTGTGAAGAAAGGTAAACAGTAATCTTTTTGAGACATTTAAAAATGAAAATGCATCATGGAAATTAAAACTCAGACACTAAATTTATAGATATATTTCTTAAATAATTTAATTGCAAAAGGATCTTTTAAAAATATTTCTACAAGAATGCATCTTTTCCACTTGTGTTTGTCTTCAACATTAAATACATTTCAATGTTTTCAAAGAGAAAAAAATTGCATCTCTAAATGTTCTTTATCCTTTACTATACAGGTACAGTACTCAACATTTTTCCTTTCTGGCATCGTGTTTGATGAGGGACTAGAAAATAAACATTTTCACTGTATTCCTTACAATATTTCTTTCAGTAACAGAAAAAAAACTATGTAAAAGTAATAATGTGAAAATAATGGGAGAGACAGATATTTTGGACAGAAACCAGCCTATAATCAAAGAAAGAATCTTGCCACAGGAGGGAAATTTGATATCAGTTCATAACACCAGCACCTTTATCTGCTATCCACAAACTCCTTCATCAGTTTTGCAGGCACCCAAGAAAATGACTTTGAGTCTGTATAGCCCACAGTGACACAAAACAAAGTTTCAACAGGCTTCATAGCCATTGGATGAAAGACTAGAAAACATCTCTCAAGCTGTTGTATAAACAGAAGAAAGTAGCAAGATGTACAATTTTTTACACATTTAAAAAATTTCAAGAAATTTGACTTATTTTAAAGCCTGATGTAACTGTTTATTATTCTTCATAAAAGATTAAACACAAGTTTTTTTTTTTTAGATTTTGTTTTTGTACTCATTGTTGGGGTCTACTGAACCATAAAAAATTAATTAATAATAATTTTACTACAAATGGGCAGATTCTGCATATTGTAGCTTAGGAATAGAATCCTCCGCTTCATTTTCACTAGGCATATCATTTGCATCACATTTGTTTTGTAGCACAAATGTCCATTAGTTGTGTTGGAAAAATAAAGAATATTTAGCTTACATTTTTAGGATCATATTCCGCAGCTCATACCAACCATAAAAACATATTTTTGTTCACGCTGACCTGGATGATTTTCCATGATCGGATAGCAAGGGATGACTGTTTTGTAGAACATTTTCTTGTAATATCAAATATTGATTTTGTTGAAATAGAACAATGGTTGTTTGGTTAAAACTTGTCATTTGTTTTTGCCCTATGAGCACTGTTAAATCAGAGTACCTTTTATTGGAATACCTTTTAATCGGGGGTTTTTTTAATTGTTTTTTTTTTCTTCAAAATATATAAGAACATCCTTAAGTTATATAACTCTATATAATTCTTCTATAAAATCACATCAGGAGAAACTGGTCACTGCTCATTCTGTCATAGTCACCCCCCCACCCCCACCCCCCAAAAAAATGGCCAGCTCAGCGCAGGAAGAGGAACATGGGAAAGAACATTATTTTTCTCTCCTTCGTATTGACTTCAAAATGTGATATTACACCTTTTAAAAATATATCATATATATTTCAGTAAAAACAGATACAAGATGCTGTAAGATCATAACTGTTACTGTCTGACCTTTGCTGTGCTGCGTTTCGTATTCATAATGTTAATATTTTGGTTTTATTTAAATTTGTAAGTAAACAATGTTTATTTAATCTAACTTATAATTACAGGGTGCAATTTCAGTGGGTTAGTAAGCCCTTTCATGTGATTCAAGTAATGGTATGATGGTTTATCTGAACTGGGAAACGAAGAATCTAATTAGTTCGAGAGTACAAAGGTTTTGCATAATGTGGTTAAAGTCCCACAGAAAGTTAAGAAACTTAGGGATCGTGAAGAAAGGAGTTAGACGGGAACAATATATTCTTATGAAACCTGTAAGAAAGTACTATGATAATGCAGAATATCATCAGTGTCTGTTAATCCAAAAAACAATTACAGATCTTGCTGGACAGCCACATTGGCTGAGCCAGAGGAAGCTGTTGTTCCCTCCCTTTACCTCTGTGTGCTGTATTGTCCATGTCAGGCAGCCGTTATCTTTTTTTTGTTCCATCTTTCATGTTTGAAGCTAAACCCGTAAACATCAGACAGGTTGCCTACCGCTCTAATCGGCCCAAGACAGAATGAAGCCGGGCGATTGCAACCGGGCAAAAAATAAGACCGATATCCGCGGGGCGGCGATCCGTCTCTGGCTGTAAATATATTCCTGCAAGTGCTGAATTCCTTGCTGCGTTAATCACTTTGACAAGCTTGGGCCAGAGGTAGCTGATGAGTCAAAAACTGCACTTGGCTGCATTAGCTGCCACAAGGCCGAGGGGCGTTAGGCTATGCAAAGGGCTTGAGCTCTGGAATTTTCCGTAGTTTAGTGGGATGCTGCTCTGCTGCCACAAACGCTTCCTATATCAAGTACCTAGATCTACAAAGGCAGTTCTCAAATGGCAAACTGGACAGAACTGTAAAGTAGCGTCAAGGAACGATGCGTTTGTGCACCTGTTACCAGAATTTCAAGGGAACAGAAGCATACTGCTAAATGCTTTACTGGAATACACTCCTTTTGTTCTCTTAAGCATAGTATATACTGGCTGAAGTGGATTTGCATCTAACCTAATAAAGATGAATTACACTGTAACATCCTCCTCATAGATTTCCTCATACTTATAGAGCCAGAGCTGGGATATTCAGTAGTTGCAAGGTCTTTGCTCTTATGGAAGCTGCTTTTGCTGTCTGTCCCCAGACACATTAACATGCGGCCACTTCCCAAACCCCTAAACTTGTCTCACTGCCTTCTCACCTCTTGCACGTCGACCAAATCTGATTTTTCCTCCAGTCGACACATCAATGGGGTCTCATTTAAAAAATAATAATAATAAAGTTCAGCTTTTTTATATAGACCTATTTTAGTTGCATGTTATTTATCTATTTAGTTACAAAATGTGAACAGGCTGTTTTGAACAAACAGAAATATGAAAAGAACTTAAGGTAATTTTCTTTCTTCTGTTTACTGAGAAGGGAAGAAACGAATGCACTGGTAATACAATAGAACAAACAAAGAATTGAATTTTGTAAATCCTTGTGATTGAATAAAACTGTATGTCCGTTTGAAATCAGTCCATAAACAATGTGTATACACTTGAGAACTTGCTTGACTTTGGATCCGATAAGCATGTTAATAATGGTATAATGGTCCAATAACGATTACGGAAATAGGACTTCCTTGTCACAACGGAATTCATGCAGGTATTTAGTTTGAATGCCTATATGAAGCTGTATTGCACAGTATTTCTCTGCAAACCATTACACTCTCACATAAGAATGACAGAGGGGCCTGGTCAACGTATTTGTGACGCACCATCCTCAACTCCCAGAAGCTCACCCAGTCCTGGTGGAGGGAAAGTGACCTCATGAAACACACTGAAGCGACTGGGCGCCTTAGAGGAAAACTCTCCCAGGAAAACAAAGAAAAAAAGCTAGGTTGACTTTCCCGAAGCCCTCTTAACGCTACGTCGTTCGTAAATTCTCTTTTAACCTAGAATTTACAGACAACGTCACGTTAAGAAGGCTTCGGGAAACTCACCCCTGGTAAACAAACAAGCAAAACTGCATGTATATCACTAAGAAAACAGCCCATGAGGTTCCAAACCAACCTTAACTTTGTCTTCACGGATTGTTCCGCTCTGTGGGAAGTCCAGCTAACATGCTGTCCTGCAATGACTGAGCAAACGTGTCCATTTCCACACCCTGTTGTTGCTCTGGTATGTCACCTATAAATATAGCATCTTCAATATGAAGATGGGAATATACACAAAAAAATTTGCTACCAATGGAGAGTTTTTTGGTTTCTGTTCTTGCCTTGCAAACCATTAGAATCAGGGGAGCGTGCTTGCTCCTTTTTCTTTCTTCGAATTGCATTTAGCGTGATCCATATGTGGTTTCTGTCTGATGGATTGAGAAACCTGGGGGGATGTGGGGCTGGGGGGAGGGGGGGGGTGGTTTATCAGTGGAAGTCGTACAGATCAGGGAATCGGAGACGTTGCCGCCAGCTGCACAGATCACACAAATCGCACGCATGCAAAGGGCACCCCCCCCCCCAGCCAAACCCCGGGAGGCACACGGGGGATGTCAGTTCCAAAAAACGTAGAAAAGAATCATAATAAATGTCCATCAGGTGGAAATGCAGTACTAACATAAAAAACAGGAAGTGTGGGGAATTGTCTGAGGCACTGCAAGCCAGTTTTCTGATTGGCAGAGATGGTCAGGCAGCTGGGGTTTCCCATTGGTTCTCTCCAGGACAGTCCCTCCCCCTTATTCCTCAGACTTGGACTGGAAGTGTTTGGTTCATCTGTAGCCTCATGTCCTGAATGCTGCCCAAAATCTTCTTTTGGTGGCCTGCCAATGTTACTCCTATCCGCAGGAGGTCCCTGAAGAGAGAGAGAGAGAGAGGAGATGGATGTCAGAGAAATCCCTGCAACGCTCAAGCCCATCAGCAAAAGACGAGGTTTCTGATGAAGACAGAGTTCAGTTGGGGAACAGAAGTGCGCACATATAAACGCAGCCACATTTTACTCTGCAGAGTTACCTTGGACAGAATTCACATGAGGATGTTTCTGGGAAATGCTGAAATACCTTGCAATTTGTCAAGAATGTATCTTGTGCTTATGTGTTGTTATAGTGATGGAGTACTAAAGAAAAAAAAAACACACACACACAAGAGTGCCATTTGCGCATAGTTCTGTTTGTTTTTCCCAGCAGATAACAGGTGAGCAAATGAACAGTGGCGTCTGGGAGAGCGATTAAGCCTGTGAGGTCCTCGGACGGCGGGCCTGCCTCTCCCAGCACCGGCTACCACTGGGATTTCACACGAATCTCTCTCGTATTTCCCCTATTCTGCTTCGTCACCCAGTACTGGGGGATGAGATAATAAATGAAGAACATTAGCAGAATTACCAGCCATTTAGAACCACAGAAACCAGCTCACTGCTACACCTGTCAGCCTGTGAAATTGAAATAAATTGCTCCACTCCATCTCCGATCCTCGAACTAATAAGGCTGATGTATTTATTACCATTACATCCAATTCATTATTTGATCCTAAATTAACTCTTTATGTTCCCTTTTTGCATTTCCAATTCAGAGCAAGAATGATTTGGTGTGTCCACAATTATTTTGTTTATACCTCTATTAATTTCCTTTGTTTTTTTATACATATATATTGTGTACTAAGGTGTTATCAGTTCTTAATAAAAGTGCAATGTCAAAAATCACAAGAATACGATGATCTGTTAGTGTTCTGGCAAGAAGCAGTTTCATCTTTAGCACACTGGCACCATTTTTCCAGCTTTTCCAGAGAAAGATCCAATAGGGATATACTTTAAATTAGTAAATGTGCAAACATTCTTCAGATTTAGTCACATTTCTCAAAAGGGAATGTATTAACGAAGATTTTCTACTAAACCAGTTGTACTAAACCAGCTTGTACGACATATTACTGTTTCCATTCTGCGTATAATCTCTACATAAGGGATCAGCAACAGGGGGCCACTTGCTACTTGAAATTCTAACCTTCAGAGAAAACGTCCCACTTCCTGCTTACCACGGCACCTACTTCCTCCTTAGCATGAGTATCAGAACCTCAAAAACATTCCATATTCCACCTCTCAACCAGACAACAGGCTTTCAAGCCAATTACAACCCTACTTCCGTATTGTACGATTTTTATCTGTCTTTATTTCTCCTGAGTATGCAGCAGTGCTGCTCAAACCATCACTGGCCAGTTGCACTCACTCTGCAGTAATTTGTGCCACTAAGTCAAAGGAGGTGAAGCCGGCGTTAATGAAGTTGTCACGGTAACGGCTCATCTTGATGGCGTCCAGCCAATCGCCCACAGTGGTGAAGGTTGTAAAGTCTGGGATGCAATGGTCAAGCAAGGGCTGGGAGACCCTATGGTGGGAGAAAGAGAGACGGAGAGAGAAAGATAGATGGAGAAAGAGGGAAGGTATTAGAACAAAGTTTGTCCCCACCATAGAACCTTAACCACAACCCCCCCTGCTTGTTCTGCCAATCTGTAGAACCACTGATTACATTCATACACCTCCACTAGGGGCATTGGACTGGACATACAAACAGATGGCTTTTCACTTACAGGGAAGCCAATGCATTAGAATAAGTATTCAGTCCAATTTCATCTACTGAAGAAAAGGAACTTAAATAGACCTAAGTAATTATCTACATCATTATACAGCTTAATGAAAAGAAGAAGAAAAAAAACAGCGTGAAAAATAGTAAATAATGGGCCTGCAGAGAGAGAGGGTAAGTGGGGGGAAGGAGTGAGAGAGAAAGGGCACTACTGTACATTCTCTCTGCTCTGTTGATCCTGTTTGCCTTTTGATGGCATTATATTAAAAAATTAGGCTTAAAAAAGGTTAATAATACTATACAGAAGCTCTATTGTAGAGCGGGGTATAGAACGATGGGGTTTTTATGTTTTTTTTTTTTAATAACCCTGCTTTTTTGAAGATACGGCACTCAGGTACAAGGCAGTCAGAAAAGGACCCTTAATGAATCATTGTCACGGTTGCCTTAAGTTATGCTTTGAAGAGCTGCTTCTCTGCTGAAAGGACGGCTTGTAGCCGCACATGGACAGACGCCAATTAGCACAGAGTCTGTTGTGAGTTTGGACCCCAGCAGCAAACACTGCTGATGTCACGTTTCCCATAGGGCTGGAAGATAAGAGCAAATACACCTTGAGGTCTCATAAAACGTAAATGTGGCCGGATACATGCATTACCTGTGTTGCTACAGTGATAAGTTCGCACCTGTTCACATACCACTCTGCCCTGGCAATATAAAGGTACCCCAGTCCATACAGACAGCAGTTAATCGCTCATTGCTTTGGAGTAGGTACACTCACTGCTTAAGTATCACTAGTTAATTAAAAGTGCTCACATCTGTTTTTTCCCCTTAATATAGCTTATTAACCTTACTCAGTGATGCAAAGGAAATCCTAAATATCCCCTTTTGTCCGAAATATTTCCCTGTCACGATCGACTAACTCATCCCAAGACGATAAAGCTTCTTTATGCCATGATGCTTTCGGGTCACAGAGTGATGTTAAGTTCACACTAAATTTAGATCAGATAGTGATGATGATGAATTTCATTTTGGCTCCTTTACCTCTGAGCAGTATAGATTATACGACCCTAACTTGGAGAACCGGTTAGAAGATGGATAGATAGAGGGATGGATGGATGGATGGATGGATGAAGATGTTATACATAAGATGTATTTCTCTACTGAAGAAAGACTTCTCACTATCATAGACTCCTCAGTCTAGATACGCTAAACACCTGCAAAGCTTTTGATAACAGGTTACCCTACACCTGTTTTTGGGCAACAAGCGAGGATATTGCTACATATATGAATGGGAAATGATACACGTGGATGTATTTATTCATTTTCACCATCAAAGAGTACAGAATTTTTACTTAACATCTGTTACCATTTATGTGCAAATAACAGCCCACCTGTGCAGCTACGTGGTATGAAACGAATCCATAGGGAGTCAGGAACACATTTTATAAAATCAAGTGACAGCTATTTGAAGTATAGTTCGCTTATTAAAAGGCTTCTAAGAAATAGGTGTCAACATCTGCCTTCAGCTATAATGTGATATAGAGACACAGTAATCTCTAAGGATTGTTCTAGAGTACCTGAATTATTATGCCTTATATCGTGTTGCCTATGTCTGTGCTGTACCCATGTGTTGCTTGTGATTCGCTATGATTCACAAGGCGCTTATAGTGATGGGCGTGTTCGGTCTTGTCTCGCTCACCCTGCCTGTGTGCTGGTGACCACCTTCAGGCTGGCCGCGTTGCGGATGAGCTTATCCAGCGTGTTCACAATCTGCGAGAACTTGGGCCTGAGATTCCTCTCTTTCACCCAGCAGTCCAGCATCAGCTGATGGAGCGCGGTCGGACAGTCCATGGGGGGCGGCAGTCGATAATCCTGCTCCACGGCATTGATCACCTGGGGGGGGGGGGGGGAGACGGGACAAAGTCAACGATCGAGATTCATGAAGGGATGAAAGAAATTACCGCAAAAAAAGCAGGTGAGCACATGTCTCACTCACATCCTGATTGCTCATGTCCCAGTATGGACGTTCACCGTATGACATCACTTCCCACATCACGATTCCGTAACTCCACACGTCACTGGCTGAGGTGAACTTCCTGTAAGAAATGGCCTCGGGTGCTGTCCAGCGAATTGGAATCTTTCCCCCCTGCACACACAAACATGCTGTCAGAAGCCGAGCTACATACAAGCAGCGCTAATGCTATTCATAAGTACGCATAAATGAAAGGGAAACTGACCAGTGAGCTTGTGTAGGTGGGGTCTGTGGTGTTGTCCTCCAAAAACCGGGACAGGCCAAAGTCAGACACCTTGCAGACTAAGTTGCTGTTGACCAGAATATTGCGGGCAGCAAGGTCTCGGTGGACATAGTTCATATCAGACAGATACTTCATCCCGGCCGCGATGCCCCTCAGCATCCCCACCAGCTGGATCACGGTGAACTGCCCATCGTTCATCTGAGAAGGAAACCCGAAGCTCATAAAACACACTCATCCAATCCAGAGATCTCTGTCCTTCATTCTCTCCTACTCTCAGTCATTACTCGCTTAATATTCCTGTGAGGCACTGATTTATTGTCGAACTCCCCTTTAAATGTCAGAGAAAGAGAGCGTGTTTGTCAGAGCCATATAGCAGTAGGGTTAGGGCCTTGTTAAATAGAATAAAATATGGGCAAACTGCTTCTATATTGTTGTATGGATTCAAAACCAGACTAGAATGCAGGTGTGTTATTATCCCCATGGTGAAACTAGGTCCTTTTTATATACCCCATCTTGCTCTCCTCAGCTAGACAGCATTCACAGACTATGGTTTATGTTGATGAGAAATTGTGGCAGTAATATTTAGAGCTGATTCTTGAAAACTGTGATTGGCTTATGACAAAAATATCTGTTGAGAGCTTTCTTGAGACATGAGATGAAGAGAGGGGTTTGTAACTGCAGGCTGTAGGTCGTCTTACTCTGAGAAATGAGTCCAGCGCACCGTTCTCCATAAACTCTGTGACAATCATGACCGGCCGGCTCTTGGTGACCACGCCCTCCAGGCGGATGATGTTGGGGTGGTCGAACTGGCCCATGATGCTGGCCTCGCTCAGGAAGTCCCGCCTCTGCCGCTCCGTGTAGCCCGCCTTCAGCGTCTTGATGGCCACGATAATTTCCCGACGGCCAGGCTGCTTGAGTCGGCCACGGCAGACTTCGCCAAACTCTCCTGAGAGAGAAGAACGTGGCAAAAAAAAAAAAAGAGAAAGGAGAAAGTGGAGGGGAAAGAGTGGAGGAGAGTGAGGGAAAAAATTAAAGGGAAAGTCACTGGTTAGAACTAAGGAGCAAGGGGCTGTGAGATCAGCAAGAGCCCAGCTGGCAGGCAGGATGCAGGGGGGGCTGGGCTATAGTGCTATAGTGCAAATAAAACGTGGAAGACGTAGCTGAGGGCGTGAAGTTAAAGCGGGGGAGAAGAAGGGATGAAGGGGGTGGATGTTGTTAGGCATCAGAGGGGAAGAAGGAGGGAGAGGTATTACGGGGCGGGGACAGAAGCTTGGCAGTTCTACGGGGATTCTGTCTGGAGCCTACGTGGATGCATATGTGCAGGTAAGGAGGCAGAAAATAGGCAAGGAGAGAGGAGGAGAGGGTGGATTTGTCACTAAAGGTACGCCTAGAACTCTAAAGGTACTAGGGGCAGCAGTTGATGTTAGATGAGCAAGGGGGCAAGTTGCATTTGCCTTCCATTCCTTCTCAAATCTTCACGGACAGTGGTGGCTGGTGCTGGGATACTGCAATCCTACAGCCTCTAACAACCACCACCATGTTACCAGGATGAAGATTAATAACGACCGCAGTCTGCTCCACAAAGGGGATGGATGTAAGCATAAGTGCAAATGAAATATCCAATTAGGCCAACTAGACATAATTTTAACCTTGGAGAACAGAATGTACCACTGTAAGTCAGTGTTTCCCAATCTGGTCCTGGCGGGCCCACAGACAGTCCATGTTTTTGCTCCCTCCCAGCTCCCGTAGGGAGATTGCAAAAATGTGGACTGTCTGGCAGGGAGCTGGTAGGGAGCAAAAATGTGGACTGTCTGGCAGGGAGCTGGGAGGGAAGAGAACACGGACCGACAGTGGGTCCCCAAGGAAACACCGATATAAGTAACATGAGACAGGAGCTGAACTGGAATTCTGAAGATGCCATCACAGTGAGGGCAGCTAAAGGTCCATGAAGTGATGGAGTGACCTTCTAATGTTATGGCCTGAAAGTGTCTAGTCGTCCTCGCCCTAACGCTGAGGACCTCGCATGGGTTACCTGCCCCGATGACCTCCTCGATCTTCACACAGGAGATGTCAATTTCTTTGGCAAACTCGCGGACAGCTTCATTCGGATCCTCGTAGGTAAATGGGTCAATGTAAACCTTCATTCCAGGAGTAACTGTGCGGAACGCAAAGCAATACATTGAACCTTGATCATTGAAAGAATAATTTATCTAGTTACTAACCCAATTACGTATCCTCATGACAAAGCAAAACATTACAATATGGATTTTTAAACATTTAAACATGTGTAATGAAGATGAGCATAACTTACTATACTGCTGTAATTTCTCTGTATACTCAGACTCTGAGCCATTGCGTTGCTTCCTACGGTAAGAACACACAGATTCAGTCACATGATCATTATTCTTAAATTTCCATGACAGCTATTGTAAGAAATATAAAACTAAAATGAATTTTTCAATACTAAAAAAGCAAACTTTCTGTCTTAAGCACCTTAACTACTGAGATTAAGAAGGCCCCGAAGCAAATGATGTCATAAAGCCGGTGTTTGACAGCAACTTAAAATAAGTGACTGAAAAGGTTTCCATAAGTAAGATTTCAAGCAATGAACGTCACAATGAATCTTAACTGTTCTGTTTAACCCACTCCACTGTACACTCTCAAATGCTGCAGTTTATTTTTTCCCCCATTTAATTTTTCTTTCTTCAGTACCGGTCTATTAATGGAAGGGGGGGGGGGGGGTAAGGGCTGCTGAAATTAGATGTTAATGCGGTTCTTTTGTTGTCTAACCAGTAACCGGGGCAATAATACCCGCTGGTAATTTACATCTCATTTACAATTCAAATGCAGTTCCAGAATATGCCAAGGCCTCTGTTTCACAAACACACTACGAAACAGAAACACAGTGGAATGATGAAAGAAAATAAAAGTGTGGGAGAAGGTTACTTAATCTAGAGCAAAGGAGCAATCATTTCCAGTAGGGTGCTTGATGTGAACTGCATCGGCAAACGCCAGGCAGCCGCCAGAAGGAGACCCAGTGGACAGTGTTCGCAAGTACGGCACTGCGTGCCAGTGAGGAGCCCATTCAGCTCTAACGAGTTCAAGACGCGTATTATAAACCCAAAGATCTTCCTAGGAACAAGTCACCTTCAACTTCTTCTTGCTATTACTGTTGTTACTACGGCTTTGTTCAAGATCGGTCGTGCTACCTCAACCACAATTATATTCGTTTACTATTTTGGTTATGGATTTTTTTCCAGAAGGTCTATTCATAGAAGTTACCCATGTAGATCCGAGTGTTTTCAGAAGAACCGCCTTAAGGGGACAATAGCAATTTCCCTTCTGGGTCATCTAGATGTCTGCCATTTCAGCCACAAGATTGCAGCTTCAGTTTGTTGTACAAAAACTATGTGATGCTCTCACGCACACATGACGTAACGGTTTTCCTGACAGCCGCTGGCGGACAGACAATTTCAAACTGACATGAAACTTGCAGGGACTGTGTCAAATGAGACTTTATGGCAGAGGAAACTGTGTTACAGAGGCTGTATGAGAGAGAGCAAAGTGCAGCTCTGCTCAAATTTAAACCTTAGCAATGGTCCAGATATAGCTGATTCAAAGCCATATATAATATACAATTAATGAGAGCAGGACTGTTAAGGGAGTTCATCTGGCATGTGTTAAAAACATCAAGATGTGAAATTTTAAAAATTGATTTCAGATATCTACAGAAGGCATTTTAATATGGTGCCCTGTACTTCAGGCTTGCCTGGGAGAAACTAATCAGAACCTGAAAAAGGACAAAAACTCAAAAGGTGTATTTAAGTGTATTTGGAATTAATAAAAATTTATGCATGTTCGATCTGAGGAAAAGATATTAATATGAAACCGGTAATTTCGATGGGAGAAACTTCTGAATTAATGAATGTCCCCTAGATGCGATTTATCCTCGGGCTGCCCGGTGCGGTGTGAGGTCTTCGGAGGTCCTCACCTCAAGCAGACAATGGCGATGACAACAACGGCAATGATGAAGACCAGACCGGCAGTGGCAGAGCCCACGATGAGGGGCAGCTGTTCTTGCAGGGACTTTTCCGGGTCCCCTGAGGTTACAGAAGGGATGAAAGGGGTCATTGACTGCAAAGAGAACTAACAAAAAACATGCGTCTGTGGCGGCCAGTTCCACTGATCTTTAAGATGGAAAAAATCCCAATATGCACATTCTGTTGTATAATATCTTGCCATTTGTTTGCTGTGGATCTCTTTGAAGGCTCATAATGCTTAATCATACATTCTGAGCTGCTCCAGGTTTTAGGGGCCTTTGGCAAAATGCTTTGTGGTAAGGTTCTCTCCCTACTGAATTCAATCATGGAGGTGCTTATAGGCAATCTCGTACGCATTCATACAGTGATAATATACCGTGATGCAAGCTTAAAAATTGCGCAAGTTGTACGTTACTTTGGAAATATGCTACATAGTTAACGTGATCTCCTATCTATGACCTGGTTAGCTCCCTCGATATATTTAGAACCTGTTATGAGCTGAAAAACAACAGGAACTACAAAAGACAGCATGCATAGAATAGTGTTATTTTAAGTATAATGCCGTTTCCGGAAACAGGGAGGGCGTTGATGGGGAACTCACTCTGCAAGTTGGTGCTGAAATCCGCCGGGCTGCTGTAGCGGCCATAGCCGGCAACGGTTCGTGCTCGAACCTGCACGATGTACGGCGTTCCTGCTTTCAGGCCCTCTATCCTGGCAGAGCTGCGCTGTGCAGTCATCGTGTGCGCAATGGCCTCTCCCTGGTCCTGGAGCAAGAGAGACAGCAGTCATCCACCCCTTCCCCTTCTACGATATTCGACGAGAATTTCTCTGCAGTTAATTTGCAACTTTAGCACTATTCAAATGCAGATATGGCAATCATTTCTCCTCTAAAATGTAAATCTCCTGTCAGTTTTCTCCCAGTGTTTTGGATTTATTCTTCAAAGGTTGAGAGAGGAAGAGCAAAGAGGAAAAAAGCTGAAACAAAAACTGTCAAAAAATATTCGCTAAAAAGAAAAAAAATGAATCCATAAAAGACAAAAACCGATACAATAAAATTATCACCATTGTTTTGCATTGTCGCTCACCTTCTCGCGGTACTTGATCTCATAATCCAAGATAATCCCATTGGGTTTTTCTGGAGGCAACCAGGATAAGCTCATAGTGCTGGCTGTAGCCCCCATCAGGTGTACAGTAGGTACTGCAGATGGTGCTGTCATAAAAGATAATACACAAACAAACAAACAAACAAATAATGAATGAAAGAATAAATAGATAAGCAGATAAGCCTTCAGCATTACCATGTTACACAAGTGTTCCAGTTACCATTCCATATTTGGATTCCAATTCATCAGAAAGTATAAGAATCTCATCAGAAGATAACGGGCAAATTTAATTATAGACTGAATTTCTTACTTCTCTTTTTCTTCGTAAAAAGTGATTCTCAGATTCTTGTTACACACATCCTGTCATTTATTCTCCCTCACTGCCATTCTTATCTAAGAAATACTTAAATCAGTTCTCTCACAAAAGTAAAGATGTTTTCCTATATCCGTTTTTATGTTTTGCCACGTAGAAGTTCTCCCTCTGTTCTTCAGGTCTGTGCCATCTTCTCCCTCCGGCGCCATGTTTTTTTTTAAAGGATTCTTAATTCCTACGCATTTGCCTTTGATCCTTTTCTTGTAGCTCTTTATTCTTATGATCCACACCCCCCCCCCCTTCCCTACTCAAACTAAAATTCCCATTTAAAACTGCACCACCCCAATTCTCATCTCCTCCGTGTTGTCTCCCTAAAGACAATGCATTCTGGGTCGATCCCCTGGTAATCCCAGCCCAAGGATTAAGGGGCCTGTTTCATCTTAGGTACCGTGTAACCATGGTGGCCCAACTCTGCAGAGCCTTTATTTATTTTTGTTCTTAAAAGGTGAATGAATATTCTAGGACACCCTGGGAGAATCTTCAGAATAATCTTATTGCAGTGCAAGCACTGCACCCCTCTGACCCAGTGTTTAGATGAAGTTTGGGCCGCCGCTGACCCCAGGAATAACCCGCTTTATTGGGCCTGCAGAGCAAACAGGACGCTTTGTCCGAAATTTAGCAGTGGAGGTGGGTAATCCAAAGACCGTCTGAGCCAGCGGTGGAGCAAAAGCAGGCCTAATGCATAGTCACATGTCCTACGGACATATCAGATGTCTGGTGTAATATAAAGAAGAGGTGAACCTGCAATCTCTGGTTGCGGAGATGGAAGCAGAGCCCCATACAGGGAGACCAGATGGGCCAAGCGCTGTGAACTAACTCCAGCATATTATGTGTTTCTGCTATACTGTGAGGGTATCAATTTAAAGCCAACTGTAGGCTATTCATTTTATCTTGGGGCAAACAAAAGGCAAGAGAGGCCCTGACATGCAAGGACTCTGGGCGTGTCGACGCGTATCGGATTACCGGAATACCCACCGGCCTGGTTGGTGGTGATGTTGACGGCGGAAAAGTGCGGGGGGTACGGGCTCTTGTTGGAGACGCCGTTGACGGCCTGGATCTCGAAGCTGTACTGCGTGTGGGCTTGCAGGTTGCGGACGGCCACGCGCCGCTGCGTGAGGCCCAGGTGACGCGGGGAGATGTCCACGTTGTCGTCGCAGCGTGTGCACGCCCCGTGCTCGGGCAGGCACTTCTTGCAGATGATGTTGTAGAGCAGGTCGTCGCGGCCGCCCGAATCTCGAGGCTCGCTCCACTCCAGCAGCAGGGAGGTTTCGTTTACGCTGGAGATGACGCTGCGCGGGGCCGAGGGCACGCCTACCAGCGGCAGACGACAGCAGTTAGGTTATTTAACGCAACAACAGGCTTCCTTCGTTAACACATTAATTAGTTTGCCCCTGCTACCTTCCCACAGATCGAAACACCACAATTACTAAACCTCATACTGTGCGCTGACATTATGTGAGACAGATTTAATATTATATGCTACACAGAGTACTATGCAAAAGTCTCAGGCAGTCAGAGGGAATGTTTAAAGCACAGAACAGCTTAGAACAAAAAAACACAACTTTAGAACGTATGAATATCACGAGGAACAAAACTAACAAGAATTTCTTCTTCTCTCCAAAAAGTCACTGACAACGTCTTGGATGTCTAGATGAACTGGCACCTCGGCCATTCCATAGACTTGTTAGATTTCACCACCCACTCACTTAATTAATTGAATTAGTTCTTAAAAGGTCAGTGGAGTATTAATTAGCCATCCGAGGTGTTCCAGTGGTCGAGTAAAAAAATTCATGGGTTGATTGGAGGTTTGCTGCAAATTCTGGGGCGACTTTAGGACGGGTTTTGAAATGGCTTGGTTTTGAAAAGTCGACAAACTTTGACAGACATAATATCATAGTTTTACACCAACACTAAGACCATTTGATCATCATCTTTTTCGTCTGCCTAAAACTTTTGCACAGCACTGTAATTAGCATAACAGTGCAGCTTTTACTCAGTTCTTATCACAGGTTATACGTCTGCGACGGCGTTTATACTGGGAGGTCAGTAGCTGTAAGATTGGATCTGTTTTTACTCTAAATTGTGAGAGGAAAGTTGCTGGAAGGGTGATGGCAGAAATAAAGGAATTCTTTATCCAATTACCAGGACCGTATCTCCTGGAGCTCTGAGAGAGATTCACACAAAGCACAAAGAAACCTAAAGCGTTGAAGATATTATTTTCCTTTTTTTGATGTAGTTACATCGAAGCAATAAAGTCTTCAGTTTTACTGCAGAGACAAAATGACGGCTGAAAATGATGCTGATCACGTCCTAAGTGTGTGCACTGCAAAAAACGGCCTTTTAAATTGAAGATAAGCTGTTTCTGTTTTGAGACAAGACAGTCTAAAACGAGCAAGATTATCTGCCAGTGCAGTAAGAAAATTGTACTTGGTAAGATTTCCTAAAAATAAGACAATATGCCTAAATGCAAGCAAATTGATCTTATGCATTGGATGTGTTGTTAGTCAGTTTATTGATGAAATTTGAATTTTGTCTAAGTACATGAAAATTATACTTGTTTCATATTTCATTTTTAGCAGTGTGGTGCTTGCGTTTCTTGAGGACAAACTCAAGAAAGCCGTCAGCTTGTCAGTACTTCACTTCCCCATCACTGATCTATACATATCTAATAACATTCAACCAATGGACGTGCGAGAGCCGCCAAGAGTTCATAAAGGAGACCAATGGCCTTTCTGTATGCTAATCAGCCGAGGGGGGTGAACGCTGCTTCCACTGACGGGGAGCCGGTCGCGCGGATATATATCGTGACGCTTACTGGTGCAGGCGGAGTCGGGGGAGTCGTTGTCGGCACGGTAGTAACCGCTGCGGCAGGAACAGATGTTGGACGCCCCCGAGCTTGTGCGGCTGTTGGGGGGACAGGAGGAGCAGAAGTCCTCTCCCTGTCTCGACTTGAAGGTTCCGGGGCTGCAAGCTAAACAGAGGAAGAAAAGATTTTTTTCCATTATAATCTCGGATGCTAGGTTTAACGAATTCCCTTGCTCTTCATTTGTTTTACCCTTTGTGTTTGGGTGTTTTTAATGAGTTTGTCTTTCAGGGTAAACAAAAAAACCCTGCAAACATGAAAGAAAATTATTCAAAATTGCATGCAGAGCCTCTCACACTCCCAATAAACGCAGGAGGGCTGTGATATATATGGTAAATGCCACCAGGATGCCCCAACTGCACCAAACTGCCGTCACACCAGGAAAATTACACTTTCCCTGAATGCATTAGAACACCAGAAAGACAATTCACTTCAGTCGCTTCAAAAGCCAATCCATCTTTGAGTAGTTATACAAAGGAAATCACCATTTATATTGTAGTCACTAGAACAACTTGGAATTTTCAATAAACTGGCAGTACAACAACATGACACGACTTTCTGGAAATTAGCGGCAAACTTTTCCATCACAAGTCCAGAGCCCTACTTGCTAAATTTAACAACCGATAACAGTGCATGTCAAACCAACTCCATATATGTTTTATATACTTGAGACCTCCAGGAGGCCACAAGTTGTCTATTAAAAGTTGAGTGTAAATTGAGGGAGCACACGGTATTGCTGTAAACAAGGCAAGGCATTTTCTGAAGGAGAGAAAGTGCTGATCATTCCATTTTAAGAAGGGGAAAGTCAGCCGTTTCCTTTCATCCTTGCTCTCCTTCAACATCCACTCCTGATAGAGTGAGAGAGAAAGAGAGACGGATAAAGGACAGAAAATGCAAATCCTGCAGGCTCTTTTTCGCAGATCTCTCTCTCCCTCTAGCCTCTTGTGTAGTGCGTCAGACTTAAGGAGCAGATTAGAATTTTTGCTGAACCTGGAGGTGAGGAACACATTGTGGCGATGGGCGGTTTGGCGCGGGTAATCGGGAGCAGGGAAAAAGGCCTCATTGATTAATATTCATGTGGATGTCTTCACACTGTGCTGACAGGGTATTAATGAGTTTGACGGCCTTCGGATTGAGTCAGAAAAGCGCGACGATGGAGATCCCCCCCCGGTTTCCGGGACGGCCTGACGCGAGTGCTTTTTATCAGACGCGGTCACCGGGACTGTAACCTTGGCCTTCCGCGAGCAAACAAATAGGTCTGATCTATGAAATGAAAAGATTTAAGGGGGGGGGGGGGGGGTGTCCTCCTTTGCACCTCCACTACAGCAGGACAGGCATTCAAATTCAGGCAAACTGCCGCAAGAGGACTCAGTGTGTTTCTTTCTGCACCTCCTGCATGCTTTATGTGTCCCTCATGCCAGTTTTCCATCATATGTAAAACGGCCAAGCCCAGGGAGAGAGTAATAATCACACTCCTATCCCTTAGCAACTTTCCACTTTATCACTTCAGGCTTGCCCCCAGACCCCCCCCCCCAAGGCCTTGTGCCCGCCGCACAAATGACATTTGCCCCCTCTTTCCTTTTCATCCCCATCATCCTTATTATGTATCATGTCTTGAAAGTTTTGTTTTCCTCTTTTTTCTTTATATCATCCAATGTCAGCCTGGTTCTTCAGTGACGCAGATGAGAGCACAGATGGTGGGACCATACAATGGCAGGATCTGCATTGAAATGGTAGACTGGTGCAGCTATCCTGCCAGATAATATAAGCGTACTTCAGACAATAGAATGACAAAAAAAGCTATACACTATATATAATCAGTTGCTATGCTGATTGTAATAAACTTCAATCATTCATACATTAGCAATTCTTTTTGAACGTACACAAGTTTATAGTGTGGTTATAATTTATAGCAGCATCTTAGCTTATATATATACTATGTCAGCTATTATATCTATTGTGACGGACTGACATTCCATACAGAATGTACCCCAGCCCTGTACGCCGTGTGGTATAGGCACACGACCCCCCATGACCCAGACCAGATTAAGCGACTGGAAGATGGATAGATGGAAAGATGAATACATTTTTTATATATGTTTGTCTACCTGAAAATGTGTCCAATAAGAAATTGGCTAGTTATTCTAATGGATGATGTGTTAACACTTTATGCAAATTATCGTATGCAAGCTCATCTGACAATGAAAATGCATCTATATATATTACTTAAACACCAGTTAAGGCTGCATGCATACATTCTTCGTGTTGCAGTGTATTGCAGATTCAATAGGTCGTAGTAAAGATTACTAAATAGCTCACCTTGGCATTGAGTGTCCTTTACGGCAGGCTCAAACCCAGCTGCGCAGGTGCAAGCCCCCACCGGAACCATCCACTCTCCGTCTCCGTTGCAGTACAGCTTGAGAGGAACGGACACTTCGAGCGCGTTGGGGACACAGACTCCGGGAGCAATCACCAACGACGTGGCTTCTGCCCCCGTGGCCGTCTCGGGGAACACGGCGAAGTTGGCGATAGTGGTGGAGCACTTCTTGTAGAAGACACGGACGGAGATGAGGGACATGCAGGCCCCCAGATCCTGGAAGGCCAGGTAGAACCCCGCCTTGGAGAGTGGCCCGAAACTGCGGACCTTGGTGTTGACGCGGCCGGACTCCAGCATAGAGAAGCTCTCATCAGGGGCGATGGTGTCCACCTTGACGTATGGGTTCTCCATCCAGAATGGACTGGTGGCCGTCGCTGAGTCTGAGTCCGACTCGTAGTAGAAGAGGTTGAAGGTTTCCTTGCAGGAGCCTGGGATGTTGGGGATGCTGTTGCAGTCACGCACGGTGAACTTCATTTCCACGTAGACTCGCAGCACGTCCTTGCGCGGGATGAAGTTGCTGCGCAGCCAGTTGTTCTGGTTCATTTCGCGCACGTTGCACACCTGGTACGTCCTGATGGGGTTCATGGCGTCATCGTATCCACTGACCTCCTCCCACTTAGAGGAGAAAGGAAACACTGCTAAAGTCCACGTCGTGACTGGGCTTCGACGTAACATTTAGCAAAACATTTAGTAAAACCTAGTAATACGTAATAAAACTGCATGATGAAGCAGAACACACGGTAATACATTAAGTACAGCTAGCTGCGTTTCCTTCTAACGCAAGTTTTAGAGTCACAGAATTGCTTCTTAAATAGACTAAGTGTATAATTAAAAAGTTTTATGTTCAGGACAGCACTGCAAAGTGTGTTAAGTACTTATGGTAACTGCACTCAATTTACATGACGATTTTTGAAAAATATAGCAATGGTACCGAATGCCACAGACGACAAGCAGATGTTAGCTTTACCCCAGTCTGAACAGCTACCCAGAAACCAATCGCCAATTATATTTCCGTTATGGGATATCCGCTACATTCACACTGCAGAAGCTAGTGGGTGAAATATATTGCCTATTCTCTCTATTGTAATTTGTGTTAAAGGTTGAAAACAAATAAATGAACGTGAGTCAAGCGAATGAGTCAGGTGAATGGATAAGCTCCGGATATGCATTTCTCTCAGTGTTTAATTGTCGTTATTATCGATCTTAGTCACACTTCCATTCGGTGCAAATGCATTGCACAGAACTTGTATCCAATATATGTCAAAAGCAAAATTAATTAACTTCACAAAACAGCAGATTATACAACAACAGTATACAACTTAAATAGGTCATTCAGTCTAAGTAGAAGCTATGTGAATAAAACTAATGGTATTCAGATAGTTTATTTAAGCATTGCTTAGCGTAGCATATATACACACTGCAGGCAAATTGCAATTTTAGGTTAATTTAATTACAGTTACTTTTAGATGTGTAGTTAAAGTGATAAATGGCATGCGGGCTTAATCAGAGGTGTTGTGCTGCGTGGGTGAAATGCTCGTGGGACAGCGCTATCCCGGTGCATTACTTCGACAAAACTGCTACGCTCGTGAAGTGGAGGAGATGAAATGATTTAATTCATGCATGATGCAACACCGGGATCTGCTTGGCGAAGGAACCGTATTTAAAGACGTAACAGTATGTTCCCACATCCAGTAAGATGCCCAATTAACCAGCCAAACTGAAAATTATACTTTCAAATACTGCAGTATAATGATGGTGTAACTGCAGGTGGGGGGGGTTGTCCAGTGATTGGTGTCGAGGACAAACAGGTCTAAAATCCAATTAATTTCTGAGGTGTGTGTGTGTGTGTGTGTGTGTGTGTATATGTGTATGTATGTATATATATATATATATAGTCACATATATAAGTCCAACATTTCTATGCCCAAATGGTTTAATGACATTAAGCTACTGTCTCCAATTGTCCTCCACACTCCTTAAAAATCCCAGGGGCTGGTGCCTATGTCAAATAAGACCTTTATTTCCCACAAACAAATGGCTCTCCCTGCTCTTCCATCTGTTACAGAGAGATACATGCTACCTCTTTTTGAAGGTGGAGGAGATAGATAACATGTGCCGCCAAGGTGGGCAGAAAAGACGGGGGTCATGTCTGTTCATTTCAGGCTGTCGCATTGGAGTGCGCTACGTCTGTTTGTCTAGGTAAGTCAAAAGTTTGGTACTTTATCACAGAGGAGAGGGAATAATTTTCTTCTGATGTCTTGACAGACACAATTCTGAAGCAGGTTGTATTTAATCTTCTTTAAACACATTGTTTATTTGGGTACTTTGATTTGTAGTGTTCATTGCTGAATAACCAAATGCACTGAAATAGCAGTGCAACAAGCATAACACCTACTGACGTTATCAACAGAACTTGTATAATACAGAAATAACTGTGAAATTAGAAAAAAAAAAATGGGAATTAAAAGAACTGAGAAGAATGATTTTAAATTAGTGGAGTACAAACTTAAATGAAAAAGATGAACAAACGAATGAAAAATGACACCCAGTGTCTGGAACACAGGGGTTAGATTTCATACTGAGTTTTGGTGATGTGTTAATTTGACAACACATATCAAGATTTGATACCATGTGTAAAATTGGGTGTATACGCAGGTCGTAGGTGTGAATGTTATCAGTCACATCCCCTGGACTTGCACTTTATGGGGGGGGGGTTTATGGGAAAAGAGGACCAGGAGGCACCGGACCAGGTGCCAGGTGGCACTGAAAGTGTGGACTGGTAACAGCTGCAGTGGGATGGTGAGACCCCCAGCAGGCGGGTGTTGGAATGGAATGGGAAGACTGGAATGTAAGCACAATAAAGGGGGGACAGAGGGTGGCTTTAAAGTGGGGGGGTGTTGCATGAATAGCCATTGTTGTAGGCAGGGGTGCCGTAAGGGGGGGTAAGTTAGGATGATTCCAAGGGCCCCTGAGTGACAGGGCCCCTAAATTTTTTTTTAAATAATTGGATTGGTCTGGACTGGGGGGCCCAAGATCTGTAGCTACACAGAGGAGCAGAATACATGTTTGGGATGGTGAAGAAGAATCTGTGTTTATTAAAATATGGAGTAGCTTGTGCTTATTTTCCCAGATTGTGGACAGGAATAAGTTAAAAATCAGAACTATAATCCTCTAATTGGGCACAGGGGTATTTCTGAGAGTATTTTTAAGAGTAATTTTTTTTTTTTACAAAAATCAAACAGCATTTTTTAGTTAATGGCTGCGTTAATCTGAGTTTCGAAAACACCACCGCACACGTGTCGCTCCAAACGCACTTACTCACCCCCGTCTCAGGATGCGCTGTCCAGGCCAGTTCCGTCGTGGCCCATTTTGTGTCCATTAATGTTTCTGCAAAACAACAGGAGGAGAAGCATTACTGCACCTGCCGTTTCTCTACAGCCTCCTCGCGCATGGCGAGCTCGCCGCGAAGGGAAAAGGAGACGCTGACACAGAAACCAGTGTGTTCTGATATCCCCAGAGACTCAGAACCTGGCTGGTCGGAACTGATCTCGAGTGCTACGGCTCCCATCCTCGTGACCCAAATATTTTGGATCTACCTGTTATTGCAAAAAATGTGAGGGGGAACCCGTATTGTCAGAGGGGAATTCTCTGTTCTGTTACTATATCTGAGGCCCTAAAATCCTTATCTGAATAACCTGGAAACAACAACGACCACTTTTTTCTGGCAGACAGCTGAAAAAATAACAGGGCATCACGGTGGGTGTTCTGGCAGGCATTGTTAACATTTTACTGAAATGCTAGTTAAGAGATTAATTAGAGGTGTCATCGTTGCCTGAAATGCAGCATGACTGTCACCGAAAAACTACTGCCTCTATCCTCAGGGGTAGCAATTAGAATCTGAGGAGAATGAAATGGGAATGTTATAGATAACTATAAATGATAGAAAAGGCAAGTAATTAAAGAGCATACAAGCAAGGTTCCATACAATCAAACAGTCGTCAGTATACATACACATGGAAAATCACTGTACTTATGTGGATTTCTCAGTCAGAAAATATAATGATTATATATATCTCCGCACTCCTGTACGCACCGTCTACTTAACAGGTATGCATTATGTAACAGTTGTTATACTGACAAAGGTGGCATTACGGTTGAATCACTTCAGGATGTCAGTAAGTTTGCATGTGTCTGTACTGCCGTTTGGATTGACAGCGTCACTCTTGACAGCGATGTGCAATTTCTCTACTCTGCATGCCGACGCTTAAAGCAATTTTTAATGCAGGAATTAAACTGACAGCATCTGAACCCTCGCATACAGTGGTGACGGTAACGCTGTGTACGCTTGTCTACATGCCCGCTCAGCTAAAAGCAGAACTTTTTGGACCGGGCCAAGTAACCTCCGCCTCCACATTTCCACGTCGTTCTGCTTTGTTTATGCTTTTGTAACGCTTCTGAAAACGGGCAAAGCTGTGCATTGTACAGCTGGTGTGTGCATTTAGATGAGGAGGCAGTATCGGGTGAATGAAGCTGGGCTCAGGACACAGCGTGTGATGACACCCCCCCCCCCCGGCCCGTCACCCCCACCCAAAGCCCAGCAATACACTGAGCAGAGGAGTGAGGGCCTGTGAGGCTGTAATACAGAATAGCAGACTTTTTCTTGTAAAGAGCAGTAACCATCCTGTGTGTGTGTGTGTGGTGGGGGGGGGGGGGTATATATTACACTATTGGCCTCCGGGTCAGGCTCTGGGGACCTGCCCCATGACCCTGAACAGGACAAGGGATTACAGAAAATGGATGGATGGATGGACCAAATGTCCATCGCTCTTTGGTACCCTGGTTACTTAAGGTTTGGGCTGGGTAAGGGTTAAGGTTGTTATTGTTGGGAATAGGTTTTTACCTATATAAATGAATAGATAGTCCCCACAAAGATATTAATACATATGTGTGTATGTGTGTGTGTGTGTGTGCTTATAGAACAGAAATAAAAACAGATAAGATTCACTCTTTGGGGCACAGGAAGCTATAGAGGAAACAGGATGAGGAAAAAGCCTCATAAACAAAAGTAAGATTGCTAACAATGCAAACATAGGCACCTCATAACATGGATGTAATGGACGCTCACCCACTCTAGTCATATAGGGGAAAAGGGTCCAATCCAATCACATCGCGCTTAGTTACAGAACATTTTCTGCTACCTACAAAATACGCAACGACAATAAAAGATGTCTCTTTCTGGCTTCATCCATGGCTTTTGGCTTCATTTTACGACATGGATTACGTATCTGCAGCCATCACAGAATTCTGTGTGTAATATCTTGATTTGTGACAGCTTTCAAAATATTGATATTATTTGATTCGCTTTAATAATCGGCTGCATTTAAGGTCAAAAGAAGACAGGGAGATAAGCTTCATTGAGGCACAAATGCACAGGTCCCTGACACATGGATTAGCAAGTTTTTTTCTTTATTCTGACACATAGATTTAACGCACCTAGACACACAAACGGTCCATCATGCAAGCAAATACTGCGTAATCCTATAATGACGGGGTACAATTGATAAAAGGGAGACAGACTCACCAATTCCCAACAAAATAAGATGGAGTAACACGCACAGACTCTCTCTCTCTCTCTCTCACACACACACACACCTTTTACTGTGCCCTGGGTTAAGTCCGATTTTTTTTTTCTCCTTTTGTTCAAACAACCTAACCTAAGAAGAGAGAAAAAGAGCCATTATTTGAGCGAAAGAATGCTTGCTTGTTTTAGACCTTGGCTGCGAGGGCACAAAGAGCAGACAGGTTAGGGATTACAAGGGATTTTTCCAGAGCTTCTTTTGGCTTTCAGCGCCCATTTTGGTAACGCTCTCCTACAGTTAAACTCCAGGGTGAAGCACACCTGTAGCAACACAATACGACCCAAGCGCTCCCTAAGCATGAAGACTAGGAATATGCTGAAACGTGCATGTTTTTTTTTTTTTTTGATTCTTTAAGGACAGAAAAGCTAAATTTGCTGCAGGCTGTGTATCTGAGAACACCTTCAGATGTTTATTACTATGCACTGTGACCCGCCATCTCTAAACACTACTTTCAAGAAAATGTAGCTTGGTCAGTCATCAAGACATTCACGCAAACCTTCTATTCCTGGCTATTACTTTTTTCTGTCTCCTGTTAATATATTATCCGCTGCAGCGTTCTAAAAATGCACATCCTTACACGCAACTGTAGCTCCTAAAAGCAAATGGAGGGAAACCTGGACCAAACTCTATCCTAAAACACTTCAGGTCTGTTTAACCAAGAAACAGAAACGTGTCAACAGCAGGCAGTAACACCGCATTAAACTTATTAGAGCTATTAGGCTGATTGCTTTGTGTGCGCCTTTGTCTGCTGCCTTTATTAGCCACGGGGGAGAAGAAGAAGTGCTGTGAAAGGAAGTGAAGGAAGGGCCTATTTAAATTTAAATGATGGCAGGCCTCTCCTTTGTACAGTGAGCGAGTGTGCTGATTAGAAGGACCACATTTGCGTAGAAGTGGCACCAGTAACTGGTCAACAGGAGTAGGTGTGGGTGGCAGGCTCCCCTGTGAGAAATTCACATAAAAGACCCTTGAAAAGACCCAAGCCTCCATCACTATGCCTTCTGTCACTCACGTCACAATGCCTATCACCAGTGCTGCACTGTGTATACTAACCAGGCAGACTATCAGAGCTCAAGAGATCAGCGCATTTCCTTTCAGCTCTAATGGACTTCATGTGTTTCTGTTGTGGCTCCGCTCTTTGGCTCTTTTTCAGCTGTATGAAGAGACGCCTATAGGACAATGATATGGGTGACTCAACATGGAAAATAAAATAAAACATACACGCATTTATGTAACCTTCTATTCTTCCAACCAACTATCTTGAAACTGCTTATTGAAAGGACATCCACAAAGAAAAATGTTAAATTAATTTTTAAAATGAATATATTGAACTTTTAAAGTTGAAATTTAAAAGGACTGGCATTATCTATCTATCTATCTATCTATCGGTGCATTTCTTGTGTTTTATTTGCCTCTACGATCAAGAAGAAACATGCCAGTCAGAATGTCATTGTTTTATATACACGTCAATAAAACTCCACAACTCGTAACTTTGAAATCGGCCTGTTTTATGTTCACTTCCGTTCTTGAGACTTTGGTTTTCTGAAGATGTGAACCGACCATTACCCTTTAAGAGCTCTCAGGCAATTCAGCTCAGGAATTACGGCTGTTCCTCAGAAGTCCGTAATTACAGAGCAAGGCGGGCCTGACAGACAAATAACCTTCAGGCCACTTTGTTCAACCAGGTGTGCCTGAGTATATGTGTGTCTTTGTACATATTAGTCTGGGTCTGTGTCCAACCCCTGGTCAATGACGATGGTCTATGTGTCCAACCCCTGGTCAATGACGATGGTCTA